TGCCTGTGGGGACCGGGAGTGGTGCCAGTGAGGATTCCTCCATCAGTCCAATTCTGTGGACCTCAATCCCTCCATCCCGCCCGCTCGTTAGAATCACCTGGGCTTTAAAGCAGTACAGCTTCTGGGCCCACCAGGACTCCATCACCCTGGAGTAGGGTCAAGCATCATTTATTTATCTATTTCTAGGCTCCAGGGTATTCTACTGTGCAGCCAGCCAGGGTCAAGAACTACCCAATTGATCGTTAGCTCTAAGGGAGGCTCCTCTCTCCAGAAAGGGCTCTGAGATCAATTAAGTTGGGGAAATGCCGCCTATTCAAGCTCCTCTTGGTGACTCACAGGACACACTGACATATCACACACCTTTCCAAGCAAAAATATCTTTGTTCCGGAGACTGTTGGTCGGTCTGGTGGTGTGTGTGTGTGTGCGCACATGTGTGCGGTATTGTGCCTACTTTATAAACGAGACTCCAAGAGGTTAAGGAATTTACCTGATGTCGTCACCATGGTCCATGGCAGAGTGCTGATTCAGACTCAGGGCTCTCTCCGCCTCACACATTGCCCCTGCTCAACAGGCCCTGAGCTCCTCCAGAAACAGGACACTCAGCAACTCCTCCTGGGGGTCCAGTGGCCCCAGGTGGGGCTGTGGCAGGCCATTCCACACAGCTCCCTCTCCCAGCCCGATTCCTGCCTCTCCCTGCACTCAGGCCCCAGTCCTGCTGGAGGCCAGGACAACTCCTGCTTCCTGTCCAGCCCCTCACAGAGCAGAGGTCTGGCTCGGTGACCCCCTGTGCCCAGACCCTCTCTGTCTCATCTGGTACAGGCTCTCAACCCTCCCTGCTCTCTGTCTCCCCTGAGGGCAGGGAGGGAGGCGTATGGCTTCCAAATTCTATTCCTGCAGGTTGACATCATCAACATGGCTTTCCCAACATTAAGAAGTGGGTCATTCTTCCAGGTGCAATGGTGGAATTGAGGCACCAGGAAAGGCTCAGGGAGAGTTGCTGGAGGGTGCACGATCCTCCTTAAGTAGGACTTTAGGACCAGCAAGCTCCCAAACTCAGGTTGCTCTCCCGACCCACCCACCCCCCAGGTCCCTATTCCCTGCTTCTCAGGCTGGGGCAGTGGTTCCCCCTTCCAAAGGAATTTCAGAGAAATTCCCCTGAGCCCCGTGTTGCTTGTTCCTTCAGCAAAAGGGAGCTCCTAGAGCTAGTGAAACCTGAGTCCAAGGATGCAGCTTGGATGCAAAGGATTTCTGAGTTCTCAGAACCTGCACGAAGACATATGTGAGAAGGTCTCAAAGCAAGTTAATTTCTCTCCGGCTACACCTACTTAAGATGAATGAAACCTTAGCATCCTCGGGAGTCTGCTGCATGTCATCAGGCTGTTCCTGAGAAAGACTGAAAACTCTCTGGCTTTTTCGTGGCAAGCCTCACTCATGTTGTGTCCCCTTCTCTCTGGGCTCTGATTTCAGCCACAAATCAATATCTTCCCACAAGATGTGTGGATGATAAGCTTCTGTTTCCCAGTGACATTTACGAACTAAACATCCTCTCCATCAGGGCCTCACCTCTCAGAGTGGGGACTCCACATCCCACCTGACAGCTCTCTTATTCCCTCAACAGCCCAGCCAAAAGGAAGTAATCAGACAGTCAGAATCAGAGAGGTGTAGGAAGGGCTCAGGGGACCAGGATTTCTGGGCCACAAGTGCCGTGAGAGTGAGCAAGACACAGGCAGAGCAATAACTCACAGTCCAGAGAGGGAGGCTGGTGGCACCTGGGAAGTCTGGTTGGGGACCAAGTGGCCAGGCAAGGATGATTTTAGATGACAGGCGCTCCAAGGTGGGTCCAGCTGGCTAGCACACCAGAACCCAGGAGGGCTGGCACCTTGGCTTGGCAGAATAATCACGCACATGCTAGGTGCTTCTCTAGGTACTTTATGTTTATTAGCTTATTTAATCTTCCCAACAATTCTGTAATAGCTACTATTACTATCCCCATTTTACAGAGGAAGTAACTGAGGCACAAAGAGAGTAGGTAACTTGCCCAAAGTCATAAAATTCGTATGTGGTAGAGGCAGGATTTGAACCCAGGCTGTCTGGCTCCAAAGTCAATGTCCTGAACCATCACACCACAACTCACACATGGGGAAAAGAATACAGTTATTGGATGTTCAGGTTACTATGGCTGGGCAACCCCAAAACTTAGTGGCTTAAAACATGATGAATCATCTATTTAGCTCATGCACCTATAGTCTGGGCAGGGCATGGTGGGAAAGGTTGGCTCTACAAGATGGTAGCTGGGGCAGCTTGTCTGAGGACAGGAGGACCCACTGGCAAGATGACTCACTCACATGGTTAGCAAGTGAGAACTGGCTGCTGGCTGGGAGGTCAGCCAGGGCTGAGAGCCGGGAGCCGTGTTCCTCTCTCCGTGGGCCTCTCCACAGGCTGCTCAGCCTCCTCACAGCATGGGGGCTGGGTTCCCAGGGTGAGAATCCCAAGAGACAGGAGGTGGAAACTGACAGTCTCTTAAAGCATAGGCCCAGAGGCTGGCACCACGCCTCTTTCGCCATATTCTATTAGTTGAAGCAGTCATATATCCCTGGTTCAAGGGAAGGGATGTAAACCTCACCTTCAAATGGAAGCAGTGTCAGAACTTGGGGACCGACCATGTTTTAAAACCCCCACATTGGGCCTGGGATCCGGAAGAAGTACGGATCTCAGGAATGAGGGAGAAGCAGCCGACTGTGAGCTCTTGCTCAGGGCAGATCAGAAGGAAGGCAAATGCACAATGACCAAGCAAGTCTCCAGTGTGTGCCAGGTCTTGGCATGCACAGACATTATCTCAACTTACCTTTGTAACAACACTTGGACACGAGTTTTCTCATCACTTTGTATAGATAAGCACTCAGAGGCTCAGAGAGGGCGTTAACCTCATCCAAGGTCACACAGCTGGTAAGTGACAGAGCTTTTCTGGTTCCAGAGCTGAACCCTTAACTCCTCTGGTGGGTTGCTCACAGATGCGGAGCAGGGCTGGCCCCAGAGGTATGATGAGGTCGGCGGGGAAGAGTAGGAAGGCGAGGAGCCAGGCTACCACTCCCCGCCCACTCGCCTTGTCCAGAAGCCCTCCCAGATCAGGGCAGATCTCCCAAACACTCTGTCCCAAGGCATCCTTTCCCTCTGGTGCCTCCTCTCAGGCTGGGGCATGTACAAACCTCCCTCCTCAGCCCTGCTTCCCAAGCTGTGTTTCTCAACCCTGAGCGGTTCCCGAAATCCTCTGTGCTTCCTGGAAACCCTCCCAGAGGCATCTGTCTTGAAACCTCTCCCAGCGCCACCTGTCTCAGCCTAAGCTGTGAATAATTACCAGCACAAGGCCTTCCACTTTTTAAATAAAACTTTTATTTTAGAATAGTTCTAGATTTACAGAAAAATTGTGAAACTGGTACAGAGAGTTCCCATATTCTCCACACCCAATTTCCCCTATTGTTATCATCTTACGTTAGTATGGTACATTTGTCACCCTGGGTAAACAAATATCGATACATCATTCTTCGCTTTACAATATCGTTAACGTTATTATTAAAGTGTAAGGCCCATTTTCTTTGGCTTCCCTTAGTTTTTTTACCTAATGCCCTTTTTCTTTTCCAGGACATCACACTGCATTTAGTTGTTGTGTCTGCTTAGGCTCTTCTTGCCTGTGACGGTTTCTCAGACTTTCCTTGTTTTTGATCATTTTGACAGTTTCGAGGAGTACTGGCAGGTGTTTTGTAGAATGTACCCCAGTCGGGACTTGTCTGATGTTTTTCTCACGATGAGACTGGAGTTATGGGTTTGGGGAAGGAAGACCACAGAGGAAAAACCCCATTTTCAGTCCATCATGGCAAGGGTACCTACTGCCATTACTTGTCGCTGCCGATGTGAACCTGGACCACCTGGCCAAAGCGGCATTTGTCAGGTTTCTCCACTCGCAAGTTCCTCCTTCTCCTCCCTTCCCGACTGTGCTGTTGGGAAGGAAATCACTCTGCACAGCAGCCCACATCTCAGGAGTGGGGAGTGAAGGTCTCCCTTGAGGACCAGGTGCCACAGAAATCCCAGGTGATGCTTCTGCACAGGAGTTTTGTCTCTTCTCCATTTATTTATTTTATTTTATTAAATAACTTAATTATTCAATTATTTATTTACACAAGTATGGACTTATGAATATTTATTTTATACTTTGGGTAATAATCCAATACTACTGTATTTATTTTCTTGCTCAAGTTCTTCCAGCTTGGGTCACTGGAGCTCTCTCAGTTGGCGTCCGTGTCCCTTTGACATACTCCCATAATTTTTTTTTTTAGCACTTTCTTACTTTCTGGGCACTACAAGATGCTCCAGGCTCATCTTGTATTTTCTCTGCTCCATTGCTAGGATCAGCCAATGCTCCAAGGAGCCCTGGTTCCTTGTATTGGAGAATAATATTCGAAACCACAAGATCTGGGCACTGTGTGTTCATTGTGTAGGAGAGGAAGACATTTCTTCTACCCTCTCTGGGTTCATTTGGCCAGAGAACAAATTAAATTCACATGAGACAGAATAGCAGGAGAAAATTAAACAAAGCTTTATAACATGTATACATAGGAGAGGCTCAGGCAAGCTGAGCAACTCGCCAAAATGGCTGAAGCCCCCACCTTAAATATCATATCCAGCTAAAGACAAAGGAGGATGTTGGGGTGGAGGGAGTCAGTTACAGGAGGTTACCAGAAACAGGAATACGATTATTATGCAGATTTAAGTCCTTGCCTTTAGTATTGATTAAGAGTTTCTAGAGATAAAGTCATCCCCTTCTTCTTCCTAGTACAGAGAGGGAGAGATCTTTACAGATGGAGATTTCCTTTACAATGTAAATGTCTCCTAACAAAGAGCAAGCAAGTTCCACCCCTCAGTTGCTTTCCTGTCTGCAGTTTATTAAAAGTAATCAGCCCCAAATAATCCTCATGCCAAAGAGACATATCTTGGGGTGGCCAATTCCAGGCCCCCACAATTGCTACTGGTACCATTGCTTCTAGGCCCTCTCAGCTGATAGGACAAGGAAATATATGTGTGTATACTAACCTGTGTGCCCATCAAACTAATCAAATATACACAAATATAAATATTTCTATATGTTTCCACCCCTGTCTATATTAAGGTAAATTTGAGTTCGTACTAACATCTACAACTCTAATCCATTATCTCCAAGAGCATTCTAGCCTTTTTCCCTTGTTTGTGTGTAACCTCCCTGCTCTGTAGTGAGAAACCTGGCCCCCAGCCTCCGCCATCCACCATCCATTAACTCTCATGTTCAACTGCAACACACATGTGCGGTGGTTTTGCAATTGCTAACCCACACTCTCTGGGAAACGGCTTCATGAACAGTGTAGGGCTTACCCAGTTTCTTTTGTTTTCAGTCTTACAGGCTCATTTCCAAAGTTACTTAAATTGGAACCTTTTTCCCCCACCCACTTCAGAGAGGTTGTTTCACACATTTGTAATACAGATAGGCTTGTCACAGTCTGCATTCTGTCCTGGATCCCCTGACTTTCTAAATGATTTTTTTAATTTGCATACACTAGGATTCACTCTTTGTGCTGTAAAGTTCTATGAGTTTTGACAAATGCAGTGTCACGTAGCCAACACTGAAATATCATACAGAATAATTTCACCCTCCAAAAATACCTCTGGGCTTCACCTATTCAAGCTTTCCCTCACCCTCAAGAAGCTTTCACTTTTAAAGTATGTTTCAATGTTTTCTCAGACTTCTCCTTAGACACGTTATCTCATTTAATCTGCAAAGCAACCGTGTGGGTTGGGCAGAGCAGAAGCATCATTCCCACTCTATGGAGGAGGAGGCTGAGGCACAGAAGCAGGAACAGGCTCACCTTGGCCACGTGGCTGGTGTGTGCAGACTGAGACGGATCCCGCTGCTGCTTTATTCCTACTCCACTCAGGCAGGGCCAGTTCCCAGACCCCAGAAGAGGAGGCGGGGGACTGGGTTTCAGCCAGGCAGAAGACTGGGCCGTAAGTCAAAACAAGCCATGGGGTGACAGCACGACACCTGAGCTCTGGTTCTGATTCTGCCGCCTATCACTGGGTGGCCTTGCCTGACTTACTTTCCCTGGCCGGGCCTCAGTTTCCTCCTCTGTGAAGTTGTGAGGGGTGAGGTGACCCCTAGGTCCCATTCGAGTCTACAGGCTGTGTCTGGCCTTAGGCATGAGGCTGACTGCAGTCAGCAGGGAGGTTTTGGGGGTGGTCAGGGTTGGTGGCTGAGTAGTAAGGCTGGAGTCAACCACAGAGGGCCGCAGTGGGATCAGGGGTCATGTGCCCAGAGTGGCAGCTCCCAAGTGCACTCTGCTGTGCTCCTAGCAAGTTCTCCAGGTGGTGATATCACAAATGCTGTCCTGTCCCATTCCATGGTTTATGGCAGTGTTCTTCAAATTGCAGTTTAACCCCCAATGAGTCATGACCTGCAATTTTTTACAAATAGAATGAATACAATAGACTAGATCAAGGCATTCAACATAATAAGGGTTAAGTATAAACTTTTGTTTCGATTATGTGTGCAGGTAATGGGTCAAAATATAAAGTGCATTGGTCAGAAAAGCCTGAAGTTGCTGGCTGCCAGAACACATCTTACATCCTTATCTCATTTTATCCTCACTATCACCCTGCAAGGAAGGATGATTATTATTATCTCTATTTTCCAAGGGAGGGAACAGGCGCGGAGAGGTCTGATGGTGCACTCGAGGGCTCTGAGTCAGTCAGCGAGGGGCAGGTTATAAAGGAATCTCCCAGCTCCCAGACCCGTCTGGGGTTTCCAACATTTGGCCCCATACAGAACTGTGGTGCTTCTATTTCACACGGTCCCAAGCAGCACAGCCCATGAGAAGGAAGGCCAGGTTGGAGGGTTTCTGGACCCCTCCCTAAACCTGGCCGGGCCCACTGTGGCTTGGCAGGAGGAGGGGTCATTCACCATCCACCCACCATCACCTCCCTAGAAGCAGACTCAGTGGGAGTTCAGCCAGAACCAGGCTCTGCCAAGGTGGGCGACAAGGGTGGAGGAGTGAGCTGGTGGGAGAGGCTGAGACAGGTCACTTAGCAAACACACTCACAAAAGCAGCTCTAGCCGGCGCTCCAGACTCCCTCAGGGCCCCAAATCCCAGCCCTCAGCAACTGTGGGTCCTACAGTTTGTCCATATGTCCTGCCTCTATCCCCCAGCTTCTCCTGTGTTGCCTGAGACCACCATGAGCCTACTGGGGGCATACTTTGCCCCTTTTCTTCTTTCTTGTCCCCCTGATCTGAATACCCACAACAACGCCGTGTTGTCTTATGATTTATGAGCTCACAAAACTCACTAATCCTTTTTCCTCAATTACCTCCATGTAAAGAAGCCCTTGGTTTCTCTGCAGACCGGAGGGCCCTACTTCTCCTCGGACACAGACCACCAGGCCCTGGCCAGAACCCCTCCCACAGGCCTGTGTGGTTTATTTGTGGTCTCTTCATTCAAAGGTCATCATTGTTGGAAAATCCCTGACAGTGTTGAGGAAAAGGCAAGAAAAATGAGGGGCAGGAAGAGCTTTCCTAAGCACAAATCTTCCAGCCAGCCCCTTCTTGGCCACTGTCCCATGGTGAGCCAGGCACTTCCACAAGGCCATGGAGGGTCTCAGCATCTCCCAGTGACTGGAGTTTGAGAGCACCAGGAAGAGTCCCCTGGCAGCTGTGGTGGGGACCTGCTGGCAAGCCCAGGATCTCCTGGAATGAAAGCATCTCGACTTCACTTCAGGTGTCCGTTCAAGTGTCACCAACTCAGAGAGGCTTCCTCTGACCCCCTCCTCATCCAGCTCTTGACACTCCTCCCTGGTTTTGTGTTTTTCACAGCCCTTCCTACCATCTGATAGCTATCTGTCTTCCTTATTTGTTTACCCACAGCCTCCCCCACTAGAATGTAGCACAGGGATCTTGGTGTTGTTCATGGCTTTCTCCCTTGTGGCTTAGAACAGTTTCTGGCATATAGTAAGCTCTCAGTAAATATATGATGAATTAATTATTAACTATTTTCTTGGGACTCAAGATGGCCAAAAGGACCCTTTCCACAGCCTGCCCAGAACCCTTTAGACATGTACTCCCAGTGAATTCTAGAAGAGCAGTTGTCCAAACTCACTGGTGCTGGTCCAGACCCACACTAAGGATAACACAGACCCCTTCTTTGGCCAATCCTGTTGGGGCTAGCAGCAGCCTCCCAGGCTGAGACCACTTCAGAGTTGCTCCCCCTTCTGGCCCGGCCACAGGACACCGTGAGCTGAGTGGCCTGGGTCCACTCAGGCCCCTCTGCTCACACTCTGCTGTTGGAGTCCCACCGCACCTTCACCAGTCCGGTCCTGGACATCCCGGGTGCTTCTCTCTGTCCTGGAGCTGCTCCCCACTAGGGAGAGCCCAGAGTTTCCCCTGGACGGTGCAAGAGACATGGCTTGGGCGTAGAGGATTCCTGGTTTCCCTACACTTAGAAGGGGCCAGGACCCTGGGGTCCCCAGGAAGGAGGGAAGGGAGGGCCTGAGGCACGCTGGGGCCCCAAATGGCCCCACCGTGAGCACGCAAACTGAAGCCTGGTTATGGGAGAGAGACAGGGAAGAGAAAGACAGAGACGGAAAGCCCCAGAGTGGACAGGCAGAGAGAAGGAGAACGAGAGAGACGGAGAGCAGGCAGAGAGAAAAGAATCAGAGAGAAACCGGCAGTCCAGTCGGGGAACCAGCCCCGCAGACCGACAGGCAGAGCGAGGCAGGGGACAGGCGAGCAGAGGCCGCGGCTGAATCGGAGCTCTGTTCGCGCGCCGCACTGAGGGGCTTTCTTCGCGGCCGTGGGAAAGCAGTGGGCGAGCGCGCCCCGAGCGCCAGGGGGCCCGTAATTAGCCGGATTAGGGCGGGAGGCGCGCGGCCCCGCGGGAAACAAAAGGCCCCTCTTTGCCCGCACAAACGGCAGGGTCGCGAGGTCACCGGACAGGGTCCCCCAGGAGCAGTCAAGGGGACCCGCGTCTGGAGAATGGGGCCTCTGTGCACCTGGCGGGCCAGCGGAGCGCCGCACCCGGTTTTGGGGTCCAGATTTGGGGGCGCAGGAGGGGAGCAGTGAGTAAGAGGAGAGAGGACAGAGGTGGAGAAGGGAGGCCAGAGGCAACGAGACACCATAGAGGGCAGGGACCTAAAAGGTCTTATTAGTAATAGTATTGGTAACACGGATAACATTTATTGAGCGCTTACTGTGTACCAGCTCCATGCCAAGATGTGCATCCTCTCATTTTATCCTCGTAACAACCTTCTGATGCAGATCCTGTAATGCCGGAGATGTTACAGACCAGCGAGGTGGGTGCAGAGATTGACTTGCCCAAGGTCACACAGGAGCAAGTGGTGCCTCACACATTCGCTGGCCCACAGAGTGGGCACTCAACAATTATGTGTTGAATGAACGAATGCGTGAATGAATGAAAAGGTTGGTCCTGATCTCACCCCTGTGGTCACCTATGACCTGAGAGGTTTGGGAAATGGGGGCTCCCAGCCTGACCCAGAGGTCTACTCCCTTCAGGAAAGCTAATCTGAGAGATCTATGCAGGAGTGTGTCCATACTGACCCCCCCAACCCACCTGGCGGTGCAGAGGACTCTGGTCACTAGGGTCAGGGGTTCAGAGATGGGTAGTGGAGCATGCCCAGCCAATGCCCAGATCCCTGTGCCCTGCATCAGGCTATCCACGTGATGGAGAAGCTTAGGCAGAAAGTCTCCAGTCCGCTGAGATCTGGGTGACCAGGCATATGGCCAGGAGACAGAGGTTTGTCACACCCAGCTCAGCCAGGGGAAGCCCAGTGAACCATTAAATCAGAGTTTTCTCCCGGGACAGCGCTGGAGTGTGAAAGCCACCAGCACAGGAGGAGGCCATGCCTGCCTCTGCCCAGCTAGCTCCTCCTCACACCCCACCTCCGTTCACCCTCACAATCTTCTCGTCAAGTGTAGGATTACTGTTACCCCACTTCTCAGATGAAGAAACTGAGTCACAGAGGCCTAGAGTATTTGTCTGAAGGGAGTAGAGAGTGAGCATTTGGGGGCATAGCTTGAAGGGGCTCCAAGTTTGAGATTTGGTTGAAAAGTTGTGTCTTCTTAAAAATCGATGTGAGTTTTGCTTCCTACTTCAGAGCATGTATGTGGCTATTTTGATATAAAAATGATGGTAGTTTTTCCTCCTATAATCTGGTAAACTTGACTTTGGGAGGTTGAGCCATGTTATCTTATCACATCTGGATCCCCTGGCACTTCATTGCGAAGCCAGAGCAGTCTGCATCCATGAGAGAAGCCCAGGTTAGGGGAGGGGGTGCACAATAGGCATAAAGGAGGTTTGGTTGCTGTTCATGTCTCTCTTTAGATCCCCATTTCTACCTCATGGAAAGCTAGGGGGAGGGGCCTCTCCTGCCTCTGCAGGGCAGGTGCAGCCGGGGCTCAGAGCTGAGTCCCTGAAGGGCCACTTGTTCAGCTGCAGATCCCAACTGCCACAAAGCCAGGACACAGCCTCCTCTTTTCTCCTCCCTTGGCTACCTCCAATTCTCTCCGTTTCACAGACCAAAACTTCTGCCACAGCAGCTGCTGCCTCTAGCTCCTGAGAGGGGCAGGCCCTTGGGGCAAAGTGCTCCCAACTCCTGGGCCTGGGCTGAGGTGCAGGGAGGGCCTTGTGCCCCAGGGAACGGCTAAGAGGTGGTGATGGGAGTGAGAGGTCAGGCCACACTCTCTCCTGGCCCCTAAAAAAGCATGAATGAGGAGCTGGAGGCCAGAGGGTGAGCAGCTGGAGAAAGGGAGGGGTTAGTTCTGGGGCTGCTGTCCTCAGGGAGCATAGGGCCAGAACCAGAGAAGCAGGAAAACTTTCTCCTTTCCCAGGAATACCCACCACTGGACCTTGCCAGCCCAGTGGACTGCTCTGGGTGGTCCTGGGGGCTCTTCCACCTCTTCGCCAACACTTGCCCACTTTTCCCTTCCAGCAGCTGATGGTGGTTTCAGAGACAACCAGGCCAGAATACCTAAGGCATCGTAAATGTTTGCTTCCTGCCCGACCCCGCCCCATTAGAGTGGGGGCCGTGCCTGGGGGAAGGATCACTCAAAAGAAACCCAAGCTCTGGTGAGAAAGCCCTCCGAGAAATGTGGGAAATGTCTGGAGCTGTTACAGTCCCCGATCAAATGTCTGAGCTCTGTGTTCCCAGCCAGGCCCAGAACATTTAAGTCCCAGAGTTCCTCTCTTCACCTCTTCCCCACTTTGCACGTAACCAGCTCAGGGGCTCAAGTTCCCACTCAGGAAGCACAAGGTGGCGTCTCCACCTCTTCCACCAGTGGGAAGGGAGAAAATTCATTCCAAGGCTTACGGCCAGCTACATCAACCACTTATTCAAGCCTCCATCCTTGAGGAAAACTGAATTCCCACAAGTGTCTTCCCTCCCCGCAGCCCTCCACCCTAGCTTGTCTCTGGGTCACAAACACAGACCCAGGTCTCTTGGCCTGGAGCATTCAAGACGGCCAACTGCAACATGGATGCCAAGGCAGGTCTGGGCCTGAGGAGGGGACGCAGAGAGAAACATGCTGTACCCATCAGCAAACCTGACAGCACGGTTCTGGACACGCACCGTGGAAAGATGGGTTTGCACATCCAAAACACAGTAAGCAGTGAGCTCAGGGCCTGATCCAGGCAGCCTTTGTGTCCCACGGACAGGGTGAGGGAGGACACCCGAGTGTGCAGCCTCCATGGCTAGATTCCAGCCGGAGTTTCATAGCATCCTTCATGATGGAGACCTGGTGGGTGGAGGGGTCCATGTCCAAGGACTTGTGAGTCCTTAGTGGACGGGCCTCAAGGCCCACGGCAGCAAGGAGAGAGCTTCCTCTGCAGCCTTGGGCCTGGCCTCTTCAACATGTTTGTCAGGGACTTGGATGAAGATGTGGGTGGTAGAATTCTCAAATTTGCAGAATATCAAAGCTGGGAGGAGTAGGAAATACTCAATAATAAAATCCAAAAGGTTTGGTCATCTTGGGTCAATAGGCCACATTTAAGAGGTGAGTCTCAAGAGAGTTCAATGTCAGGATCTGCTTATGGGGTCCAACAGATCAAGTGCCTCAGCACGTGTCAAAAGCAGAAGGACTTGGGATATTCGGCTTAGGGCCGATCAGCTGTGTGATGAATCCGAACAAAACAGTAGTGTGATCTTCAGCATTAAGTCTTGTTTTGCGGGATTTCTATGTCCCATAAATCTCATTAAGGGATTTCTTGTCAGTCCACTGACCACTCACATCAAAAACCTCTGGGGCCTATTAAAAATTCAGATTTCCAGACCCACCCCAGATTGTTCACTCAGACTCCATAGGGATGGGGCCCTGGAATATGCATTTTTTACCACCTCCTAGTTGACTTTTGAGAACATTTTCAGCTCTACCTCCCTCTGGCCCATGCTGGCCTCTCTTGCCAGGACTGTCCTATCTCTTAGCAAAGTAAGAGGACCCCCTGCCCAGCAAAACTTTCCTCTACACTAGAAATTCCACTGTCAGAGCTCTGCTCCTTTGGGTTACGACCTTGCCCCTACAAATGGCCTCATCATGGAAGATTTGAAAAGATAAAGACAGCTGGCTTATAGCAAAATTGTGGTGGGGGCACTGGGTGGGGACGCAGGCTGAACTTCCCAGACAAAGAACAAGGCTTACTCATACTGCCGGAGGGCCGTGATCCAGCTCAGCCTGAAGCTGAGAGACAGAGAAATAAGCCATTTGTTCCTCATTGGCGTGGGAAGAGCTCAGGTTTTGGAGAAGCAGCCTGACCTGAGTGTAAATCCCGGCAGGCCCGTAGCAGCTGTGTGACCTGAACACAGACTTCAACTTCTCTGAGGCTCAAATTCCCTCTCTGAGATAATGACACATTCCTCACCCAGTTGTTCTGAGGAGTAGATGAAAAAAATGTCATTGTATGTATGTAAAGCCCCCAAGCCTTTGCACACAGTAGATGCTCAGTGTTGCTCGTTGAATGCACGAATGGGTAAATAAATAGTGGATGGATGGATGGGTGGATAGATAGATGGACAGATGGCTCTGTGAATCCTTCTTTCTTACTTACAGAATCCTTTCTTTCTCATTCTGCCTCTGAATTGATTATCCATAGTTTCCCCACCAATGTAATTCCCTGATGTCTCACAGATGCCTTGGTTTGGGGTCCAAGTCACGCCTCCCAAGAAAAGCCCTTCTCTACCACCCCAACCAATGCCCTTCTCCCAGCCCCTGTCCAACTGCTAAGGCATTCCCATCTGGCATTGGGTCTCAAATTCAGCACAGGGGCAAATTTCAGGGCACAACCTTTCACAGGTTCCCCTGATATAGGCCAACAGTGTAGTACTGAATCTGGCTTGGTTCACCTCCCTGGCCAGCCTCCGGGAACAGCCTGTCTTCAGGCTGACGGGGTCCTGTAGAAGAAAATCAGCTGCGTGAGGCACAAGTCCTGTCCTCCTGGAACTTGGACTCAAGGAGGAAAAATAAGAGACAGTTAGAAGGTGGTAACTGCTGAGTGTGAGAAAGTGCTCCCAGCTTGCAGAATTAGGGAAGACTTCATGAAGGGGTTGACATCTGGATCTTAATGCATGGATACATTTGGACATGCAGAGTTGGAGGAAGAGCATTCCGAGGAGAGGGATCAGCCTACACAAAGGCCAGAGAGGGCAGCGTAGGAGATGGTTCTGTCTGGCAGGAGCACAGGGGAGGGGGAGGTAGACTAGGAGAACTGAGGCTGTAAGATTGTTGGGGAAGGCACCGGGCAAGGCCATGAATATACTTGACTCCCCTGATGCGAATCCAGGCAGAAGAAGGGCCTGGGTGTGGCCCCTCTCTCTCTCCCTTCAAGGTTCCAACCACAGCCTCTTTGTGTACCCTGCTGTGTGCTCTCCCATCAGGCATCTGTGAGCTCTGGCCTGGGTGCCTTCAGTGAGTCATGGCAGCCTGGTGGGCCACTTCTTCTGGGGCCATCTGCATTGATAAATCCCTGCTCCCAAAGGAATGAAGGGAGGAAGTTCAGGCCTTGTGCAGGCCATTGAGGGGTTCTGCTGATGCCCGTGTAAGAGTAAGGGGCTTCTCAGGCCCGGGCACGTGCAGCTTCTCTGTTGGTTGTGGGTCACTCCTACTCTTCCCACCCCTGCAGCCTGCAAGTGGCAGGTCCCACCCCTGTACTTCTCCCAGCTAATTCAAGCCACACAGAGCACAGCCAGCCTGCCAGCAGGTCTTGTTTCACTGGAATGTTGGCATCAAACTTGAGATCGGAAATGAACTCATTATCTGATTATTTTTATTTATGAAAATGTAACTGCTCTGGGAGAAGTCTTTCTTGAACAGCCTTCTGAGTGGATGAGTAATTCTCTCCCCCTTCATATGCACACGCTCAGACACATATGTTCAGGCACACACACACAGACTCAGAGACTCAGACTCCCCCTTCAGACACACACACACACAAAGGCAGCCACGTGTTCCGGTAGATACATACCTTCAGGTATACACACCATCGAATGGAGACACATGTTCTAGGTCTAAAAAGCTACTTTGAGGGCAAAGACCTTGTCTCCTTTATTCACTGCAGAATCTATGGTGGCACATAACAGGCAATCAGTAAATATTTGCAGACTGAATGGCTAAGTAGTAGATGCACACACACATTACTCAGACACACACACAAACAGGCAAGCATGCACACCCAGCCTCTCTCCCTTCTTGGAGAACAGCAAAGTCAGAGACTCCCTAATTCCACAGCCTGAAGTCTTCACACCATGAACCACACCTAGTATTAGTTGAGAACACACCACCCAGAACCTTCTAGTGGAGAGGTTCACTGCCAGTTCCCAGGAGGCCAAGGCAGTCCTTCCCCTGACTGCTAAGGCCTCACCAGGTACTCAAAGCCATCCCACCATCCTTGCCAGTGTGATGTCTAATGCGATGGTCTGGCCAAGAAAGCCTGAGGTGGTTATGCAGGGCAACTATTTTCCAGGAATGTTCTCTGGAGACTGCCCCCGTTCACCCACAGATAGCTCAGTGGCAGGTCCTGGCACAGGGTCTTGGGCAATGCCAGCCCCCAGGTTCTGTCTGTCTGTCTGTCTCTCTCTCTCTCTCCTCCAGCCCATGTCCATGACTCAGGCTGTCCAAGGCCTGTGAATGTCTCCCTGGGAGGGCACTGGGCCAGAGGCAGGGCTGGTGGGCAGGCAGGGGTAAAGAGCCCAAAAAAACTTTGACTGGAGGCTGATCTTAGGGTGGAACCCTCAGCGGGACCATGACCCTGACCCCTAACTGTTCCTAAATGCCTCCCCCATAGCAAGGGCAGCCTGCTGCAGTTGAAAGAGCTCTGGGCAGGATGAGGCTCACCTGAGCTGACAACCCGGCTGGTCACGTACTGTCATGTGACTTTGGACAGGTCATTAACCCTGCAACTTTATTTCCGCCAGCATCTTGGGCAATTGTATGCTTCCTGCTTCGCTGTCCTAGGCCGAACCCTCTCCTGACCTCCCTTCCAGCCCCGGAAGGAGAGCTCATAACTCCCACTATAGCATTTCAGGCCTCTTCAAGAGACCCTTTAAAGGTGCAGAGCCCTCCACGGGGGCCATCCTAGCAGTGTGTAAGAGCTGCCTGACCTTCCCCAGACGCTGCCCCTGGAGGTGGGAGGGCACTGAGAGGAGGACACAATTTGTTTTGCTAACGTTGCTGTGTCCCAAGGCCTAACCGGCGAGAAGGAAGGACTGTGAGCTCTTAAAAGTCCAAGTCACCCAGCAATACCACTCCTAGGCATATACTCAGGAGAATCAAATGCATGTGTCTTTGAATAGGTATGCATATGAGTGCTTTATTCATAATACCTCAAACTGGAACAACCCAAACATCCATCAACAGGAGAATGGTTAAACAAATTGTAGTGTACTCATATAATGAAACACTGACACAGTGGTGACACACGACAGCAAAAGAGCTTCTGCTACACACAACAGCATGGATGAGTCTCCCAGGCGTGACTTTGTATAAAATAAGCCAGACACAAAGAGACCATGTGATACCATTTGTAGAAGGTCAAGAACAGGGAAATGAATCTATGGTGATAGAAGTTAGACTACTGGTCACCCTGAGGAGTGGTATTTACCGGGGAGGGCCACAGGAGACCTTCTGTGGAGCTGAAATGGTCGATATCTTGATTCAGTGGTTACGTGGGCATAGACCCATATGTGGCAATCCATCCAGCTGTACACTATTGTGTGGAAGTTACACCAGGGGAGTGACCTAAGGCACAAAGGGTCTAACCCACACAGAAAGGAGGAATTGTGAAGGGAACTTACAGGGCTTTGGGGTGGAAGGCCAGGAAACAGCAAAAGAGTAAAGCCAATAGTGGGAAAGAGAAGGTCCAGAGCATTCTCCCAGGAGAGGCTGAGTGACATGACCAAGGAGGGTGGCCATGAAGAAGGGTGTAGGGAGCTGACCCTCCAGCTGACCCACCGTGTGTCAGAACAAGTCAGGTCACCTTTCAGTGGATGTCCTGCACAGGGCTAGTACATTGGGTTTGGGACCCAAGGTGGAGGCCGATCTCAGACCATCTGCCTCCTCCTCCTTTCTTTCCTGCCCACAGCTTTGAGGCAAAGAAGGGACCGAGTCCCAAACGTTTCTTTTAGCCTCGATTATTAGAAAAACTCAGTCTGCCCAATGTGCTTAAATAGAAGGTGTAAAGGAGAAAGCTAACTTATTCTGCCTTGCTTTATCCTAAACTAAGCTCCCGGACAGAATCTTTCATAAGAAAGAGCATTCCAGAAACTGCACGCGGGCCAGCTACCCTCAGGGCCTCTTGATGCCGGTCTGTGGGCCTGTGAGTGGGCAGGAATGCATGTCTCGGTGTGTGTCTGCCTCTGCGTATTGTGTTTCCTTATAATAGGGTCCTCTGGTTTTATCTTCACACATCCCAGCCCCTCCTCATTCTGCTCTCATGCCCTTGTTCAGCACCCCTGCCCCTCCTCCACCGATACCCCCAGTCTTCCCGCCCTGACAATGGGTCTGATTGTTGTTTCACCATGACATGGAGAGACTAAGCCCTCATCCTTCTTGGACATTTTTTTAAGGAACCCAGAGGGGGCAAAACTTAACTTTAAGGTGTTGTTTTCAAGCGCCGTGACAGGCAACTCAAGATCTCACCACATTATGGCGATGGTTGATCATGGGTAGCTGGTGGCATTTTCAGGACCTGGGATTCAAAGGGCACAGCATCCCATACCCCTGAAGCCCTAGCATCTGTATGATTGACCAGGTGAGTTCAGTGAAGAGATACTACCAAGTCTTGGGCAGCTCTGAACACATCTGCCTCTCTGGAAAGATGGAGGACGCCACGGGCAATGGCCCCAGAACTGAGGCTCCCTTCCCTTAGGCCTGGCCTTGGCCCCTTTTCCTTCCCTGGGCAGCCCCTGCTCTAATCAGGCCAATCTCCTCAGATAGCCCACAGCGGGCCGTCCCCATTCCCTCATTCCTCCTGCCTCAACCCCCACCCAATGGCAGACACATATTGCACATTTACTACAGAGCCTGGTGGGCACTGTGCAAAGTGAGTCAGCTGTCTACCAGGCAGGTGCTCTTATTAGGCTCCCTCCACGGGTGAGGAAACTTTGGCTGAGAAATCGAGAGCTTCCTCTGAAGTCACACAGCTAGTAACTGGTGGAACCAGGATTTGAACCCAGGTGGTCAGACTCCAGGGCCCGGCTCTACTAACCCCTGACTGTTAACGCCCTGGAGCCCAGTCAGCTCACTCCTTCATGAGAGGCTGTAGAGGTCGGTGGTCAAGGGCATAGGCCAAGGAGCCAGGCTGCCCAGTTCTTCTCTGCCCAGGTCCTCCTCTTCCTGGGGGCACTCTGGAGCGTGTTACCTAGCCCCTCCGTACCTCATCTGGATGGGAATCGGATTGGATGGGGTGGTTGCTCCTGCCCACTCAGATCCAGCCACCTCTCTGAAGGCTGTCTTTGCCTCTGGCCCCATACTCGGTCCAGTCTGTCCAGGCCAAGAGCAGGTCAATGGTACAATACAAGGCAACCATTTGTAGGGCCTGCTCCAAAGAGGGCCATGTGTCCCAGGGCTGAGTAAGAAAATCCAGCCCTCTGGACATCACAGCCTCCTCTCCAACACGGTGGCCAGCACGTACAAAGACTTGTGCCAGGGACCCTAGAGCCCACTGCCCATGCTCCTCCAGCCCACTCTGCTCCCACCCCTGACCCCAGTACCCCCACCATCTGCATCTACTGCACACTTGAGTGTACTCTGTCTACTGCTTTTCACTGGGTCCCATCTGTGAATTTTGTTTCCCAGCTAGGCTTGAACACCCCAAGAGTAAGGACTGTTTTCCCCATCCTCCATCTCCCTGACAGCCCAGATACAGGCTGGTGCAAACTCCAGGTCCTCAAAACACACTTGGAATGGATGCAGTTGGGTTGGGGGCTTAGATACCACAACTTTAGAGTGTGGGGTTAAATATTTAGTCTCACTAGAGGTGGAAAAAGGAACAATATGGGGTTGGGTGGATGTGGACTTGAATGCAAATGAATGCAAATCACTGTGCAATGATATGCAGATGTGCATCCAGGATTTGTGGGAAGGAGTCCCATGACCTCAGAATCCTGGTTCTGGCGGGCTCTGCCCTCTGAGGGGCTCTGTGTCTGCCAGAGGTCTTGCGTGGCAGTGCTGGGAGCAGGCCCCTGCATGGCTCTCCAGCACCACTGGAAACCATCTGAGGAGATGCACCCACCCACCAGGGCAGCCTGGCCGACCAGAGGCATGTAAGGATGGAAATTTGCCCTAGGGAAGGGCTGGGGGCGTAGCCAGAGCTGGGGAGCCCTGGGTTCTGGGGACATCCAGCTCTGAGGGAGCATAGACTGCTGGACCAGGAAGGAAAGACCGTACCCGATGTCATTTCCAGGTTTCCAGACTCAGTCTCAGCTCTCTGCTGTGACCACCACTGGGGAGCCCCTGGCTGCCTGCCACTCTCCACTACCACTGCCAGCCCTATGCTGTGCTGCCCACCAGCCCTCAGCCCATACCCCAAGTGGGTGGGCAGGCACGGTGACTAGAGCACATAGGGGCTTCCTAACACCAACAGATACCCTCTTTGGCCAGGCATGGTGACTGTGACTGTGACAGTCAAGGAAACTGAGGCTCAGAGAGGTTAGAGTGGCTCCAAGCCACACAGTGGGTCAGAGTAGAACCAGATCAGAACCCAGGTCTCCAAAGTTGCAGAGGGAGTGCAATGACAGTCTGAATGGGTGGGGTCCCATGTGGCAACCAAACCCCAGAAGGCCCATCTCCTTCAGGCAAGTCATGGCGAGGAGACTGAAGGAGGAGAGAGTAAGGACAGGGCCAGAGAGCTGGCATGGAGAGAGCCAGGCTGGGCCTGCAGGGCTGAGAACCCCGGCCTCTGGGAATCTTCAGAGGGTTTGCAAGACAGTCCAAATCCGGGGTTCCCACAGCAGCAGGTGGGCATCCAGCAGGCCAGGCCAAACTGGGCTGGCACCAACTCCAGCAGGGTTGGAGGTGCCAGCTCTCATCCGCTAGCCCGCCTGCCAGCTGGGGAAGCTTCATTAGAATTCCTCAGCCCTCCAACCCATTTCCTTCCTGGTGAACAGGACAGCTAATGGCTCCTGTCGCCTACTGCCAGGGTGAGGTGGGCCGGGCTGGCAGCTTCAGGCCAGGCTAGGGGTGGGGGTGAGCTAACAAGCTCAGGAAGCATACTTCTCTGCCTTGGAGTAGGAAGCAGCCCCCAGTGTGACCCTAAATTTCCCCAAGTCAGAGACCATCTGCCTGGCTGTCTGTCTATCCATCCCCCCAGGGCCCAGGGGGCTGGTGAGTGTGGACAGACAGACACAGGCTGTGGGAAGCTTTGGTGATTAATGGGTGATGAAAACCAGACTCCATCAGGATGGGGGTGGGAATAGAGAGGCGGAGAGAGGCTGTCTGTTTCATGCTTGGCTCAGCTTTGAGCCCACAGCCTTGGGGAGGAGGGTGGAGGCAGCTGAAGGCGGTGCCTGGCCGTGGCCTCTGTGTCCCATCCTGGGCAGCAGGCCCCATTTCACCAATGCCCACCTGGCACCTCCTTCAGCCTCTGCCCCAGCAGACAGCCCTGTGAGGAACCAGCTTTGCTCTCAACCCGCAGGGACTCTTGGGGGCCCTGAAATGCCCTCCATCCCAGAACACCCGGGGTCTCCACCTCTTCCACATGGAAGGGTAAACACAGTCACCCCACTCCTCCATCCCTTCATCTTCCTCCTTACTGTGAGGCCGACTCTTTTGGGGCCCAGACCCTGAAACTCCTCTTGCCTCTCACTCCCCAGATACAGGACAACCCCAAACTCTGTCCTGAGAACCTACTCAGCACAGCCCTCACTGTGGAAACTTTGAAAAGTTTAAATCTAGCAGATTTCTCCCAAAGATTCCTTGGCAGCAAAAACTACCTCTAAAAGGATTTAGCTCAAACCTCCAAAGACGCAGTCTACAGAAACCGAGCTGGAGGGAGCCTTGCACAACCATTTCTCACGGTTGCCACCAGACAGACACCTGGAGGGATCTCGCAGCATCCTCCCTGCTGCCCCCAAATTTCCCCTTGCTGGCCCCCCTGCCCCGTGCTGGGGATTCCACCATTCAGTCCCCAGGGTGAGGCACAGCCCTCCCTCTCGAATACCGAACTGAGAGCGTCTTTCAGAGGCTTCCCAGCATGTTCCCCCCAAGGGCCCTGGGATGCAGCCAGACAGGGCCTGAAAGGAGGAAACGGGATATGGATAGAGGAAGTGGCTTTGAGAAGGTGGAGCACACAGGCAAATTCTGCTGATTGCAGACTTTTGCTGTTGGCTGACCAGGCCTGCCTGTCATCAGAATAAAAATTATGTTCTGGTTGTCAAAAAAATATTTCCAAGGTAGCTGTTGTGTTGTGGTGAGGCAGACAGATAAGGAAAACAATACTGATTCCTTCCTCCTTGCGTACCAGATACCTTGTGTATATTTGTTTGGCTCACTGCATCTCAGAAACAGTCTAACAGAGAAAGTGAGGCTCAGGGAGGTTGCCCACCCTCGCCCAACCACCCCTCTGGGGTAAGTGACAGCTGAGATCCCAGGTCTGTCAGGCACAAAACCCTCCTACTTTCTGAAGCCCCACCCTGCCGGGGGCTCCGAGAGAGAGCTGGACACCATCTGGGAAGAATCAGAGGAGATTTTTGGAAAAGGCCTCATGTGGGAATGAGAAAACCTTCATTAGGGCTTTTTAATCAATAAAGCAGAAACATAATCTTTCTCCTTGCAAACATTTCTGGACTCCCGGGGGTATTCAACTATGTGTCCAACAAATTATTATGGGAGCAAATATAAAATTAAAAAATCCCCATCCCAGCCAGTCAGAGAATGCTTTTTACTGGGAGTGGGGAAGGCCACAGCCAAACTTTATTGCTCCTTGCATCCCAGCTCCTGCCTCTTGCCTTGACAGAGCCCAGACGTGTCATCTGAGAAGGAGGAGGACGAGGTCACTGCCCTTCTCCTGTTTCCTGCCAGAACTCTGCTCTTCAGCTGGGCATGCAGGCCTGGGACAGCTTTGCAGACTGCAGGCTGTGGCGTGGAAGGAGCTGCTGGGTGGTTCTTATAAAAGGGGGTGTAAGATGCAGCCCTCCCTGCTTCCCCTGAATGGGAAGACGAGACACCCTTGACTTAGGCCAAGTGCCCAAGGTTCATCTGTGGCTGTTCAGGTCAGAGAAGCATTCATGGTGCAAAGAGCCTTCAAATCAGCTGGACCCGGGCCTGAGCCCCAGCCTGGACACGTGCAAACTGAGCACCTCGCTTAGCCTGCCCTGTCTGCAAAGGGGGAGTCCTCAGACCCTCCTCACAGACCTTCTCGGGATGAAATGAGAAAGGAGTGTATTCACTTTCTATTGCTGCATAACAGACTCCCGCAAAGTTGGCAGCTTAAATCAACAGCCGTTTATTATCTCACAGTTCTGCAGGTGAGAAGTCCGGGTGGGCTCAGCTGGATTCTCTGCCTGGGTCTTGCAAGGCCAAAATCAAGGTGTGAGCTGGCTGGGCTCATGTCTAGAAGCTCTGAGAAAGGATCTGCTCCCAAGCTCTTTTGGGTTGTAGAAGTCTGCTCCTGTGGTTGTCAGACTGAGGTGCTGTTTCCTTGTTGGTTGTCTCAGCTCCCAGAAGCTGCACTCTCTCAGGTCCCTTCCATATGGTCTCTTCCATCTTCAAGTCCTCAAAGGTACATGGAATCCCCCTCAGGCTTCAGATCTATGACTTCCTCTCCTGCCACCAGCCAGAGAAAACTCTGCTTTTAAAGGGCTCATGTGATTACACTAGGCACACCTCTCAGATAATCTCCCTTTGGATTAACTCAAAGTCAACTGATTTATAACCTTAATTAGGTTTTTTAAATCCCTTTGCCATATAATGTGGCAGAATTATGGGCTTGATATCTCATCATATTCAGGGATTAGTGGAAAATCTTGGTGGACCATGTTCAGAATTCTGCCTAGCACAGTGAGCAATTGTGAATTCTAGACTAGTCTCAACACAGTGTTTCCTTCCCTCTGCTCCAGGTGATCAGAGGAAAGGGTGGCACCAGGCTGGTCAGCTGCTCGGGACCCCCTGGTCCTTCTCCCCTCTTCTTCTTGGGCAAGCCTCTCGGGCTTTTGAAGACCTGAGCAAATGAGGCTGCTTCAGGACCCCTGGGATTTTGCTGCTGTCCATCACCTTCTCCCTTCCAGAGTTTCAGCCACCTCAGCCCACCAGGTCCCCTGCCTGGGCCCCACCATTCCCTTCACACTCCCGGCATGCACCATCTCAACATGATCCATGGCGGCCATCTACACTCACCTACTCTCTGCCACCAGATCTGGTCTCGATCAGTCCCTGCTCCCTTAATCTGCTCTCTTCCCTTATCCCAGTGGACACCTTACAGGCCATATTTCCCAGGCCTGACTGCGAGGGCAGAGATGGAGTCTGTCTTACACCCTCTTGTGTTCCCAACACCCGGCTCAGTGCCAGGAGCTGAGCAGACACTTAACAAACATTTGTTGTGGTTTCTCTGGGCTCGTGTATCTGTGAGGTCCATTTGCTAAAGTGCTTCTCTCCCTGTCCTAAACCCAAACATATGTCACCACCCACCCCTGCAGCAAGTGAAGCCCCGTGTCACACTCTCCCTCTGCGCAAGGGCAGTGACAAAAGAGAGGGGCTGACTATGTGGGTCCCTCAGAGTGACATGCCACCACTAACTCCGTTCTGTCCCACACCACACATCTCTCTCTCTCTCACACACACACACACACACACACACACACATACACACACACACCAGAGACTCCACGTGCCCCTGGGCCCATGGCTGGGGAGGGCAAGAGTCACCACCCATAGGCGTCCACCCCTGGCCACACCTGGACCTCAGCTCAGTGATCTCTCTAGGAGTTTTCTTGTGCTGGCCTTAATCTTTTTTGATTCCGTCCCTGAATTTGGACCTGTGTTCTCATCCCCCAGGGACCCACCCACTTCCTCTTGGGAATCCAGCCGAGGACAGTGTGGTTTGAAGAACATTCTAACCCCAGCCCCAAAGCTCTAAGAGAAAAAATGACTAAAAGCCCTGGAATGTGGAGCCTGCTGCTTCCTGCAAAGCATTTGAATGAAACACGTAACCAACAGCTGCAGCGCAGAGAATGGAAACTCTGAGGGACGTCATGCTTCAGGGCCTCAAATAGCAGGGCTGTGAGCAGAACAAGCTCTTTATTTTGGCCCAGCCCGGACGCCCTCGGCGCCCACCTCCTCCTCGCTCCTTCCAGGAACCAGGCCCGACGTGCCAAGGACGTGCTCTGGTTGCTTACTCTTTCCAAACACCCTGCAACCCCACTAAAGCCCCAGACCCTTTGTAGGGGATAGTAAGCCCCCTTCCCACTCACCAGCCCCCAAGGGAATCTGGGACCCCACAGCCCAGCCACTCTGCCCTCTCAGGAGCAGAAGGTGAGACATCCCACCATAGTTCCCATCCTGGAATCAGCCCCAGGCCAAGCCTGGCAGTGCCAGCCAGCTATGCAAAGCGCTAGGATAACGTTACCCAAGGCTGCTGTCAGGGTGGGCTTGGGACAAGGGAGGAAGGACAGGCAGTCCCATAAGGAGCAAAAGTCCTGGGAGTTAGGGAATTCCTAGGGATCATTCCTGACTGAAGGGAGGACACACTAACATTTTTTCAACTTCCTTACTGAGATGTAACATCCACACAGTAAAGCACGTTACTCTTAACGGTATAGCTCAATGAGCTTTCATACATGCATACACTACCTGAATCAAAATATAGAACATTTTGAATACCCGAGGGTTCCCTGGAGCCCTCCCCAGTCAATACCTCTCCCCCTCAGAGGGAACCTCTCTTAGAAATTCCTCTATCAATTAATTTCGCCCATTTTTGGACTTCATTTAAATGGAGTCACAGATAGTATGTGCTCTTGCCACCGGCATCATGTCTATGAGATTCCTTCATGTTGCAGGCACACTAACGGCCCCATGACACCTGCCACACTCCAGGCACCACACGGAGGATGGCATGTTGACTTTCTGCACTGAAGCCTTGATTTTGAGCCCTTTTGGCAGATAAGGAAGTCAGTTAAATCGGCAGTTCACTGCCACACAGTCAGGACATGGAGGAGCTGGAATTCAAACCCAGGAGAGATCAGCTCGAAAGCCGAGTCTCTCTTCTCTTCCCTCTTTAAAAATATAAGGACACCTGTTCCCAAGATACCGAGAAGCAGGGAAACATTGCCTTAGGGTCCATAGCCTAGAATTTCCACACAGAGGAAACTCATTTCAGGCTTTTACACACTCAAGAGCCCAACAGGGGCCCCATTTTACTTTAGTCTCCCTAGTCCATGGGAATATAAGTAAGGCAGAGGCCGAGGGATGAGCAGTGGGAGAGGAGGGCAGCTCAGAGCACCAGGCCTGAGAGGAGAAGGCTTGGGAGGAAAAGAATGAAGAGGTTCATTCATTTAGTCAACCAATATTTATTGAGTACCTACTGTATGCCAGGCACTGTCTTGGGCACCTTTGGGTTATCTAATGCCATGTAACAAACCACCCTAAAACACAGTGGCTTAAAACGAACAACAAATACTTATTATCTCTCATGATTTGGTAAGTTGACTGGACACCACTTCTACTGATCTCGCCTGGGGACTATCGTGCTGCTACAGCCAGATGGCAGCTGAGACTGTAGTCATCTGGGATCTTGACTGGGCTGGCTGAGTCAAGATGGTGGATTCTCATGTCTAGCACCCAGGCAAGGACCCTGGAAGGCTGGGTTCAGTGGAGACGGTAGGATTGCCGGAATTCCCTCTCTCTCTATGTACTCCCAGGGTCTCTCCCTCTCCATGTGGCCTTTCCAGGTCTCCTCTCCATGTGGATTTCTCTAGCAGGGATCCAGACTTCTTACATAACAGCTCAGGACTCCCAAAAGTATGAAAGTGGAAGCCTCAAACCTTATTAAAGCTCAGGCCTGCACTGGCCCAGCATCTCTTCGGCCATATTCTGTTGGTTAAGGTGAGTTATAGTCCTAGACCAGATTCAGTGTGGGAGGGAACTCTACAAAGGGAATGAATATCAGGAAGCATGTTCATTGATGCCATCATTGGAGCCTAGCTACCACCAAAAAAAGGTCTTTTTTTTTTCTTTTTCGTTTATTCAACAAATATTTACTGTCAAGCACACGGTTCCTTCTTGAATAGAATGTTACTTAAACTAAACGTCACTTTTGTTAGATTCACAGCTATCGTTTAGGATAACAGCTACTAAGAAGCTCTGTGAAGGGTAAGCGACATTCATTGAACGTTTACTATACACCAGACCCCAAGCTCAGAGCTTCACAAACTGTAACTCATGGACTCGTTCCTCATTTACCCGCCTTTGAAGTAGATATTATCATTAGCCCTATTGACAGGTGCGGAAAAGGTTGCTTTAAGAAGTTATCTCTTGTTGAATAACAAACCACCCCAAAACTTAGTGGCTGAAAAAACAACAATGATGTATTACCATTCACAGTTTCTGTGGGTCAGGAAACAGGGAACTCAGCTGGGCAGTTCTGGATTGGAGTCTCATGAAGTTGTAGTCAGAGTGTGACTGTGGCTTGTTCACTCACATATGTGGCACCTGGGCTGGGAGGACTCAAACAAGTAGGGCTGGACCAGCTGGAGTTCCTCTCTGTCTCTCTGTGGCCTCTGCACACGAACTCTCCCACACGCAGCTTCAGAATAGCTGGACTTCTCTCCTGGCAACTCAGAGGTCCAAAGGCATATGTCCTGAGAGAGAGCAAGACAGAAGTTGTCTTGCTTGTAGAAAAGTTCACCTTTTCTAACCAAGGCTTGGATGTCATGCAACGTCATATCTACCACATTCTATTTGTTAAGGCAGTTACAAAGGCTTACCCAGGCACAGGGGAGGGACCTCAATTCCATTTCTTGCTAGGAAATGTGTCAATAATTTTGAGCCATGTTTAAATCAGCACAGTCTGTCCTCTGGACATAAATTATTTAAATTCCTCTCACATGCAAAATATACTCATTCCCTTCCAATGATCTCCAAAAGTCTCGTCTATTATGGCATCAGGGTTAAGCTAAAGGTCTGAGATCCCATCATCTAAACCACTCAGGTGTGGAGGAGCCCTCAGACGCAGTTCTTCAGGCATGGTTCCTTGAGTACTATTCCTTTTTATCTCAAGACTTGTGAACTAAAGAGAAAAGCTATCTGTTCCATGTACACCCAACACACAACGATGCGACAGGTATTGGATAACCACTATAATAAATACTCCCATTCAAAAGAAGTGGGGTGGGGGGCCAGCCCAGTGGTATAGTGGTTAAGTTCACACACTCTGCTTCAGCAGCCTGGGATTTGCAGGTTCAGATCCTGGGCGCAGACTTAGCACCGCTTATCAAGCCACACTGTGGCAGCATCCCACATAAAATAGAGGAAGATTGCCACAGATGTAAGCTCAGCGACAATCATCCTCAAGCAAAAAAAAGAAAACAGAAAGGCAACAGATGTTAGCTATGGGCCAATCTTCCTCACAAAGAAAAAACAAAAATAAAACAAAAAGAGATGGGGTAGGGTGGGGAGGGAGTTACACAGTAGTCACTGGTCCATAGCAATTTTGAAATCCAGACAGGCACATATTGCCAGTTTCTTGATTAGGGCTCAGTGCTACTGCCTGGGAATGCTTCTCCACACTTCTTGGCTCCATGCTCGGGGCTCTTGGTTCCACCTTCCGTATCTTCTTTTCTTTACTATAAAAAAAAAGATGGTTGGTGTTTGCAACTGAGTAGCTTTCTCAGGTTGCTTTCTTCCCCCTTCTTGGGGGCTCAAAGTCCAAAAACATTGGGAAACTTTTTTTCATTTTGTTCTACTCTGTCCCTTTTGGTCCAAGCTGATGGTGCTTCTGATAATACAATTCTATTTAAAACTTTGTAGGTTTTCTAAGGGTCCTGTTGAGCCTCACTACCTTGGGCAAAAGCTACACCACAGTCTCATCAAGGTCAGCTCTTCTCTACCGTGAGCTTTTTGTGAGGTTGTTGAGGGACAGTTCCCTTAAGATACTTAGAAGCCCTATTGTTTAATAAAGAGAATCTGTGAGGCACACTCTTGAAATACGTAGAGGGCCTTTGTCCATCTGAAAGATTTTATGAAGCATTAAGTCTCTCTGAGGTTTTAACAAAGGTTCTTATAGTCCCACTCTGGATTTCATCTTTGTCCTGAAGCCCTTTCAGACTTTGAGAATCTTTTGCCATCTGTGGAGGCTGAGAATGAGAAACAAGGTTACTTCCCAAACCAGCAAATCCCTGGCTTTTTAATGTTTTCTATAAATTTTTCTTGAAAATTAAAGTTTCCTTTTTAACTCATCTTTCTCCATCTTTATCACATGCAGTTAAAATAACCCAGTTGGCACTTTCAACATTCTGCTTAAAAGTCTCTTCTAAAATAACAATCATCGTAAATTTCAAGGAAAATTAAAAAAACAAAAGTCTCCTTAGCCCAAAGCATTAGGTCATTAGGTACATTTCTGTTGTCCATATCACTTCAAGTGACAATGTTGCTAAATTTTCCTCCACTGCGGAGAGACCCCTTTCCTGTTGCCTCCAACATTTTTCTCACTTTCCTTTAAGCCCTCCCCAGCAGCCTCCTTCAGGGCCATCAGGCTTCCACCAACATCTTCAAAACTCTTAGAATTTCTGCCCACCTCTCAGTCCTAAGCCACGGATTTAGGTTTTGTTATGGCAGCTCTCCACTTCCAGATAACAAAAGTTTGTATCAGCTGTCTTGCATTATAACAAACCATCCCAAAACAATGGTCTCAAAACAAAAACAATCATTTACTTTGCTCACGAATTTTGGGGCGGGACCAAGAATAAGCCAGGCAGCTTTCCCTCAGGATCTCTCTCCTGAGTTTTCAGTTAATTGGTGGCTGGGGCTGGGGTTAGCCCAAAGGATTCTTTATTTGCATGCCTGGGGCCTAGGCTGTGAAGACTCAAGCAGATTGGGGCTGGATGGTTGGGTCTGCTCAGGCACCTCTCTCTTTGAATGTGGCCTCTCTACAAAGCAGCCTCAGGGTGGCCGGATTGCTTTTATGTTGGCTGAAGGCTCCCTGCAAGAGCATCCCAAAAGGAACCATCAGAAGCTGCATGGTCTTTTCTAACCCAGCCTTTGAAATTACACTGTCACTTTTGTCACATTCTATTTGTCTAGGCATTCCCAAATCTCTCCCCCCGCCCACCAGTTTCAAGGGGTGAGAACATAGACTCCCACTCTTCATAGGAGGAGAGTCAAAGGATTGTGGACTTGTTTTAAAACCATCACAAGAGGCTAAGTAACATGTCCAAGGTCACACAGCCAGAAAGTGACAGAGTTGAGGTTTGAACCCCGGCATTCTGATTCCAAACTCACATCCTTACCTGCTAGTCTACACTGCCTCCTGTATTTGTAGACATGGAGGGAGATGGCACACGAGGCAGGAGTGGGTGGGTCCTCTGGCAGGAAAGTTCCTGACTAGTTTTTCTCTACTCGGCTTTCTCTCAGAGAGTAGGGGGACTCTTCATGGAGCTGCCTGATGTGAAATGAATTAACAAGCCAGAGCTGGAGCAGCCTCCTCTCAGGCATTTTCCTCCCTGAGATCCTTTTCTTCCCCAAGGCCCTCAATGCCTTGGCTGTGGTTTCCCTGTCAATCTCACCACAGCCCAAGACCCCTCCTTGTCGACTGACTCCTGTGCACTCGCTCTCACCTTCTCAAGGGGTATGTTCACATGGGGGAAGGAGGAGTGTCCCTTGACATTTCAAGAATGTCTGCCAGATTCTTTGGTGGAAAGCTTCCTCCAAAGCCGGCAGGTTATTCATCAGAAGAAGATAGTAACTTCTGTTGACTTGACCAGGCCATGGAACTTTCCTACATTTCCTTTAAAGCTTGACTTTCAACAGATTTCAACACACAAAGATTAAAAATTACATCTTTGTCATGAGCGTTAAAGTCCTAAATAGAGCTTGCACGATAGAACATTTCCAGTAAATCTTGTCTGGAATAATGCTTCCTATCCTGAATGACACCTCGATGCAGAGGACAAATCAGCCAGGAAAGAAATGGTGGGCAGGACGGGCTGCCATGAATGGTTATGCAGTCTGTGCACTGCAGAAAGGGGCCTGGCCAAGGAGATGAATGGGGTGGGGCCTGAAACCCAGCCCCACATTCCACGAACCCAAGCTTTCACCTTGAGGAGGGGCTGTGTCTGCCTGGAGGAAAGAACAGCTTTTTCTAATTTACCTGCCCAGAGGGGCCCCTTTCTTTCTAAGTCAACAAAGATACCGTATGTATTAGGAGTATCACTAGGGGAAGGCAGGAAGATATAATAAAATATTATATTAACCTACTCCACAGGACAAGTAATAGAAATCAATCCTGGCAAATAAAAAGAAAAAATGTATTAAATTTCAAGAAAGGGTTGAACAACGGAGCCTCAGGACAGGCCAGAGAAGGTCCAAGGACCTACGCATCTGGAGTCAATGAACCTCCTTAGAACACTTGCATTAAAGCAGCCCCATTCCAACAGCTCCCAGTCTCTGCCTTTCGGTTCAAAATTCCAGAATCTTGAAAGAATCTAATTGGCCCAGCTTGGTTCAGCTATGCCCTCCATACCCATCAGCTGTGGCCAGGGGCAGGGAGGATCATCTAGCAGAGTCTGTGCCACAGCTTCAGCTGCTGAGCTCGTCTCTGTGAGTAGGGCCCAGAGCCCAGGCCCTAACGGTGAGCTGTGCAGCCCTCAAGGAGCTGCCTTCGGCAGTTCTGTACCCTCGTCTAGGATTTCTCATCCCCAGGAAGGCCAATAGCTAATCGGTGATCTTCCCAACGTCCTGAGAGGCTGATCTGATCCAATGAGTCACAAAAAAGATTCCTGTGGCTGTTCAGCCACTGGTTTTACTCTATACACAGCAGGCAATGACATTTGTCATTGCCCAAACATCTTACTTATGAGTGCTTTTAGTATCAATGGAAAATCAATACTTCATATTCTTCTCCTTACTGGGACTTGAGTCACCGTCAGATGATAGCCGTTATTCAGCTCCATAAACCTATTCAGAGGCCAACCTATGATCAGAAATGAATTCTGGCAGAAGTCATAAAATTATTTTGCAGTGTCTTGATTGGCAACTCTTAAAATTTTTTAATTATGATACATTTAAAAATAATCTAACAAACCCACGTGAACACTCTCCAGATTCAACAGATGTTAACAGTTTGCCACTTTGCTTCAGATGTCTTTATCTTTTTAATGAAAATAAAACATGTCAGCTACAGCTAAGCCCCTGCCCCCACCCCTCCTCCTTCTTGCCCACACAGTTAGGAGCACTGTCCTAAAGCTGGTGGTATCATTTCCAAGAGTGATTTGGGTTTTGACTTTTCTTCTTGTTTGGACCTCAAGCGCAGAAGTCGAGTCAATCATTCTCCTCAATGGCACACTCGCATCACTGTTCCTTCCGCACAAAGGCCCTCTCTTGTTTAATTTATTTATTCCTTCAATCCTCGTTCACTGCCCCAATCTCCTCCATCCCTAAAAGCAACCACATTAATGTCTGACATCATGTCTTTGTTTGTCTGTGTGTCCCTCTAAAACATACACTGTCATTCTGTGGACATGGAGTCTTTGTTTACACGAACAATATGGAGCTATAGACTTTATTGTTTCTTGCCTTCTTTGGTCAGGACTATTTTGAAGGCCCACTCATATTGTCGGGTGTACACTTAGCTGGTTGTGCATCCACCCCATTTGATTTAGCCCATTCTTATCCCATTCCTCCAGTGCGGTGGAAGAGAGAGGCAAACCGAGGAGATGGTTAAGAATAGGCTTGTCCTCAAGAGTCTATCCCAGGACACAGGTGTACCAATGCCCCCTACTTGACCACGCATGTGTGCATACATCTACACACACACGCAAACACACATACATCTTTAGCTGGGGCCTTGGCAAGTGGAGGTAGGGAAAAGCAAGCCGGGAGTTCTATCCAAAGGAGACCTGTCCTAGAGCTCTGATACTTTTAAATCTAAGTCCTCGACTCCTCTAGGAAGCCTGGTCTGACCACCCCATGCCACACAGGTCTCTCCCCCTTCTGGGGATTATGAATCTCATTTAATCATACACTAGTCTATTCTAGTCTTTCTGTGACTGTCTCCCTAATCAGACTGAAATCCTCTTGAAGCAAAGAACCATCTCTTGTCTTTTTTGTCTCTCTTGCTCAAGGCCTGGTGCAGAGGAAATGAAGGCAGAGAGTGGGAAGTTGAATAGTGATTTCACTTAATTCAGGCCCGGCTCCCTCCCTTTTCGGGATACACCATCTTTCAACAAAGACTTGTGTGCCAGGTTCTTAAATGTTCAGAGAGGAAACATACACTTTTCCAGCTCTCAGGGAGCTGCTTTATGGAGGATGCAAACATCCAAACATGAAGTTGTAGGACAATGTGGAGAATGCAAAGACTTAAGCATATTCCTCGGGGACAGAGGAGGAAATTCCAGCTCAGAGCAGAGGGAGGCCAGAGGGCTCCTAGAGGAGGTGATATCAAAGTTGAACCTCAAAGAGAAGAGCTAAATTTAGAAGTGGGAGAAGGGTAAAGGGATTATGAAATAAGGGTGAGAGGAGACAAGAAATATCAGTTATTATGGCTATGTAACAAATTACTGTAATATTGGCATCCAACAACCATTTATTATGTTTGTAGAGTCTTTGGGTCAGGAATTTGGACAAAGCACAGCAGGATGGGCTTACCTCTGCTCTGTGATGTCTAGGGCCTTAGCTGGAGGCACCCAAGGCTGGACTTTGGAATAATCTGAAGGCTCATTCACTCACAAAGCTCGTGGTGGGTGCTGACTGTAGGTTGGGGGCCTCAGTTCCTCTCCACATGGGTGTTTCCATTGGTCTCTCCAGGCAGGCTAGTTTGGGCTTCTTCACAGTGTGGTGGCTGGATTCCTAGGGTGAGCATCCCCAAAAAGAAAGAGAGCTAGGTGGAAATTATAACCTTTATACGACTTAGCATCCAAAATCATCACTTCTGCCATACTCTATTGGTCAGAGCAGTCACAGCCCTGGCCAGATTCGATGAGAGGAAACCTAGACCCCACCTCTCCGTGGGAGGAGTGTCATTCACATTGCAAGAAGAGCATGTGGGATGGGATATATATTCTGGTGCAGCCATCTTTGAAGAATGCAGTCTCCATAGTATGTAATGATAGGTTAGAGGGACAACAAGGGAGGGACAGGTGTCCAATATTGCTGGAGTACGGTATGCAAAACAGAGGCAGCCAAATACCACTCCATAAGGATAGGTCAGGCCAGGTTCTGGAGGGTCTTCAAAACCACACTTAGGAGAATGCTTATAGGCAAAGGAGGACTTTGGAAGCCCAGGACCCCTGCCCCCTCATTTCCATCACCCAGCACCTCCTCTGGGCTTGATCAGAAAATATCTAAGGCCCTCTATGGTGGCTAAGGCAGAGGGACTCTGAGAGTTGGTCTGTGCCCTTGGAGTAAGAGTCAAGGGGAGGCAGCCACCAGGCCCTAGCCTTGTCCCTATGTGTGCATATGTCCACACCTACCTGGCCAAGACCAATCTCTTGGCCCCAGAGTCCCATGGATTCTGCTGCTTGGATGGCAGGCAGGGACTCTTCAGAAATGCCCTTCCAGATCCATTCTGAATGGTCCTGAGCAGAGCAAGACTCACGCTTCACATACACATACCGGCCCATGAGGTATAGGCCAAAGGGGCAGCACGATGAGTTCTTGTTTCGTAGTCAGGAATCCTGTGTTCTCATCTTGTCTCTGCCCAATGAGCTGTGAGCCTTGGGGAGGTCATTCACCCTGCTGGACCTCACAGGCAAATGCAAAAATGGCAGTAGACAGGAATTTTCTCCAAGTAAGGTCTTTGGAGCTCAGCAGTTAAAATCACCCGGCTTGAAAACTACAGTGAGATACCACCTCACATCCACTAGAATAGCTAAAATCAAAAAGATTGACAATACCAAGTGCTGACAAGAATGGAGAGCAACTGGAACTCTTACACTTTGTCAGTGGGATGGAAAGTTGTATACTCACTTTAGAAAACGGTCTGGCAGTATCCACTACAGTGAAACACCTTCCCAACAGCCCAGCAATTCCACGCCGAGATAAAAGACATGAGAACATATAGCCACACAAAAGCCTTGTACAAAATGATCGTAGCAGCTTAATTATAACAGCCAAAAATTGGAAACAGCCCAGGTGTCCATCAACAGGTGAACAGATAAACTAATCACAAGCAACAAACTACTTGATACACACAAATGGGTGGACCTCAGAAACATTACTCTGAGTGAGAGAAGTCAGAAGCGAAAGAGTGAATACTGTAAGACTCCACTTAGCATGAAGTCCAGAAACAGGTGAAACTTAACAGATGATGACAGAACTCAGCAGTGGACGCCTGGGAGGGTGGGGGTGGGGGTGGGGGTGGGGGGGATGAAGTGGGGGTGGGGAGACTGGAAAGAGGACCCATGGAACTTTCAGGAGTGATAGAATTGTTCTTTATCTTGATGGATGTAGGTTACACAGATGTATACATTTGACACTTAAGATCTGTGCATTTCACTGTTAGACTTTAATTTTTTTAAAGTAAAATTATCTGGACTGCCTGTTAAAATGCAACTTCCTGGGCTCCCAGACCTACTGAGTCAGGCAGTCCTTCGGAGTGGGGCCCCGGGAATCTGCGCTCTGAACAGGCTCCAGCTTTGGGGAGAGCATTAGATTAGAGACCCAGGTCCCCAGGGGCAACACCCACACTCTCCTCCCTCCCTCCACGTCCCCCACCGCCACGATCCCACCCAGCACTTGGCGCATCCCGCGCTCCCCCAGCCCTCTCCCCAGTCGCCCCTGGTAACGGAGAAAGGGCTTGAAAACCCTCAAAGTGCAGCCGCCTGGGGAGGGGCCGTCCACAGTGTCAGCGAGACAACGGCAAATACAAAATGCGGGTAATTGGCGGTTTTCTGCTCCGCGGCCCTTTGTGCGGCGGCGCGGAGCCGGCGGCCGCGCTCCCCAGCCCGGGCCTTTCAGCCGCCCGGGCGGCCGCCCGCTCCCCGCGCTCCGCGGCGCATAATTAATCGGGCTTCAGAGGGCCCGGGACAAAGGCGCCCATTCACGCCGCCGCTCCTCCCCCCGGGGATATTGTTATTTCTAAAAACTGCAGCCAGCTGGGCCGCAGAGAAACGTCAGCTCTGTGGGAGAATGAGCGGCTAGGCCGCCGAGGAGAGAGGGGCTCTGTCTCTGCGCCCGGAGCGGGATGAGAGCGGGAGAGGGAGCCGCGGCGGGCAGGGGGCCCGGGGTCTTTTCTGAAGTCTGCACGACTCCTCAGAAAGCCTCGTGATTTCCATGGGGCCCTGGAGGAGAGCGCCATGGAAATGGTAATGGGGGGCATTGAGGCTGGTCCTTAGGGAGGGAGAAGGGGGTGCATTCAGGCCGCCCTACCACGGCACTGCTCCCGGGTGGGAGGGGCCATGGACGGCCTGGTCGGGAGGCCAGAGGGTCCCCACCTGTACCAGGCCCTCCTCGACACCCGGGAGAAATGCGTCAAGGAATACGGGCCTGAGTGTGGGTCCGTGGAGTCTGCAGTTAAGTCAGGGGCTGGGGACGTGAAGACGCCATAGTTACCCAGCTTCTGCCCCAGGGACCACCTGGGGAGCTTATTCAAAACAATATCCACACAGGCCTGGGCCTCGCCCCCAAAGTCTGCACGGGGCAGGGGTATCTGTATTTTCATAGCTCTGCAAGCACCTCTGAAGCCCACCCACTCAGCGCTGCCTTGGGGGATGGCTCAGGTGCTCGACTTCCGGTTTCACAGAGGCGGAAACAAGCCCGAGGACGCAAACGGACTTGCCCAAGATGTCAGAACAGAGCCAGAATGGGCCCCTGGGTGTGCTGGCTGTGTGCAAGATCGCAACAGAGGGAGACAGAAGCTGATGAAAGGGAGCATGCTCCTCCTCCCCAGAGCATTTCTTGACTGTTCAGGCCTGCTCTGAGCTCTCCCTTGCCTGGCCTCTCCTTGCACGAGACTGAACTGCCTAGTTAAATGCCTCCAGCGTGTTCTGTCTCGTGGGTTTGTTGGGGTTTCCCCTACCCCACTCCATCAGAGGCACCCTTCAGTGCAGGCTGGGAGATCACATTGGTGTTGTGTCCCAGCCAGTGCTGGTAGAGCTCTGGCCAAGGTTCGTTGGACGCAAACAGCATCTCATGACTCCAGGGTCCCATCTTCTAGGCTAAGTTCCCCTTCAAAGTCCAGTGCCCTCCTCAGGCCCAGCAGAAGGCTTGGTCCCAGGTCAACAGTGCTGGGCTTCACCTTTGCCCCTGAACCCAAGGAGATGGGCACCCATCATTCCTTGTCCCAAAGCTGGGAGCAGTCATGAACAGCCGCCATGGATTTCCAAAACCTCAGCCTCCTGAACACCTCCCAGAACAAGCAGGGGCCTTTCCAAAACCCTGCCCATCCCAGTCCATCTCGCAGAGACATTCTGTCCCTCAGCTGTGCTCTGGAAAATGTTCCCTCAGCCTAAGACTGCCAGTCCTGAGCAGGACCACAGCCTTGGAGCCAGACCGCGCCATAGAGCCTCGCTCCACCCGCGAGTCAGGGAAAGGAAGCCTCCTGTGTTTTCAGAGGAGCCTGGCCTCCAAGGCCCAGAGAAGGTGCCCAACAAGCTCATTCTGCTTCCACCAGGCCACACTGGAAAGCCAACATCATGTGACATTCATATCTGTGGGTGGGAGAATGTGCAGAAAACTCAAGAACAAAGTGGAGGGAAAGAGAGCAGAGTTCAGCCAAGGCCTGGCCAAGTCTCCAAGGGGTCAGATCAGCTGTCCAGTAGCAAGCCAGCTCAGGCATAGCCACTGAAGCCAGGAAAATTTCCCAGAGGACCCTGTGACCTAGGCAGCCCCCAACCGCCAGGCCACCAGCATGGAATCAAGCAGAAAAACAGGCTGTCTCCCATTGAATAAGCTTTTTTTTTAGGATATGGAGTGATCTGATACTGTCTGTAAAGGAGAGGAAGAAGGCTCAGCTATAAGGAACTAGACTATGTAAAAAAAAGTCCTTGAAACACGCACTGAAGTATTTAGGGGCAAAGGGGCAAAATGTCTCTAATTTGTTTTCCAACCATTCCATAAAATAGAAATAATTGGTGAATGTCACAAAAGAGCTTACGGAAATTACTTATAATATTATGGTTTTTCTGAAGCTTGAGATGAAAAAAACAAAACAGTAGTCAGCATACATACACACAAACAACACAGCATTGATATTCCAAATCCTAAACCCAGGGATGGGACTCAGCTCTCCTGTTGTCCCATGCACACACACACTCACAAGCGTCTTTCACTGTCTTCTTTTATAGCAGTTTGTGAACCCAAGTCGGTTTGCAGGTCCTAAGGGTAAGGCCTGTGTTGTTTATCGTCCTCTCACAGTTAGCCCTGTACTTGGTAAGTGATAGGCATTCAGCCAAGTCTGGCATCCAGTCATTGGCCATGGAAGGTTTCCAGCTCTGAGTGAGATGGAAGAAGGAGGAAGACAAGAGCACTGGCTGATGGAAGAAGGAGTCAAGAAAGACGGTAGAGTCCATATAGATTTTCCAGTTGAATACACTCATGTCAGAACTGATGTTTTTTTCAAGGTTAGTAGTCGGGCCCAACTCATCAGATCCTTCCATCCTTCCATGAAGCTTGGAAAGTAACTCAACCCCAGTGGGGCTGCCCCATAGGGTCCCCCGAGAGCTCTTACAGACATACACAGCCTGAACCTGGCCGTGTTCACGTCAACATGTGGTTAACAGAGTCAGTAATGTCTTTATTTAAACACTGCCTCGTTCTCTGAGTGTTTCCTGTATGTGAATCTCGTCTCCCCAGTGAGATCACAGGGGTAAAGGCCTTGCCTCCTCCCACCCCCCAACACGTGGCCACCC